TTAAAATTATCCAAGGTGGCCCAGAGATAAGGCCACTCCAGTCTGTCAAACGCTTTTTCGGCGTCGAGAGACAAGACAGAACACGGGGAATCAGTTGTCTTTGCTGCGTGACTAATGTGTAGCAAGCGCTGTAGATTGTCAGATGCAAATCTGCCTTTTATAAATCCAGTCTGATCATTATGCATCAGTCTAGATAAATAGCTTAAAAGTCACATTGCAAGTACTTTCGCATAGAGTTTGACATCCCCATTTAAAACAGACAGGGGTCTGTAGTTACTACATGGTGCTGGGTTTTTATTAGGTTTGAGAAGCAATGTGATTATTGCGGTATTAATACTTGGATTAAATGAACCTTTATCAACTGCCTCATTAATCATATCCAACAATGGTGGGCCGAGTATATCCCAGAAGGCAAGGTACAACTCTGGTGGGACACCGTCCCAACCTGGGGATTTACCGTTCCATCATAGTGAGTTGTATTTTTCTGACCCACATGCAGAACACAAGACGGAGAACAGGAAATCAGTTAAATATGTTTAATAAAAATAAAAAAAAATAGAAACGATAATCAAAACTAGATCCAAGAGCTTGTGGCTTCTGGAATCGGGAACGTTGGGCGGAGAGAAGCAGAAGGTACGCTTTGAAGACGAGAAAGCTTAAAATTGTGAATCGCCAAGGGAGCTTACTTGGATGGAGGAAGTAGTATGCAGGAGGGAAATACTGAGGTTACCGGGGTGGCGTTCAACAATGGTGGGTAGGCTGTGATTCGGCGGGGAACAGCGACAGAAGAGAGAGTTAACAGTTCTGCCTTTCAGGCCGGAGGAGTGAGGGGCCAGCCAACAGAGGGATCCAAAGAGGTTTGGTTCAACGGCTTGGAGGTAAGTGGAACTCGGGCTTCCAGTAGGTAATGCCCACGGCGACACGAGAAGAATGGAGCACAGGGAAACTGCCAGTATTCAGACTGTTAGTGCGAATCAGTCACTGCGTCACAATGGATCACCTGAAAAGAGGACACAAAAGATACATTTTTCACAAGAAACAAAATCACAAGGAGCTCAGGAGGCCTTGAGTACCATTACTGGCAAAACACTCTGGTGACAAAGTGTTGGCTGCCCCTCTTTCTTATACACCTCCTGACGATAAACGACCTGCAGGTGTGTAGGTGACCAGCCACCGTCAGTCAGCCCTTCCAGAATGGATCCCAGCCGCCCTCTGGTGGAGAAAGGGGGAAACACAGCCAAAAAACAAGCAGCACCACCCCAGATCCCAACACTTTCCTCATAGAGACTAGGGCTTTTTTCAGCTCTTGTAACGTAATGGAGAAGTTTTTCTGAACCCTGATCAGTAAGAGTAGGGAGCTGAAGATTCTTAAAAAAAAACTGCTCACATTTTTCAGCATTCAAAACTACTTCAGAGGAGTAAAGGGAAGAGTAATAAGTTTTGAATGCCGAATTAATTTCGCAGGGTTCAGTTAGGGTACTGGTAGGTGACTGAATGGCCATGATGTTGGAGTATTTCTCATTCTGTTTCAGTCTTCAGGATAGTAAATGACTCGGTCTACAGCCATTAAAATAATAATTCCTTCTGGTTTTATGAATTAGGAATTTGGCTCTTTGTCTTAATAATAAGATTAACTCTGTCCTAGTCACAGATATTTTCCCCAATTGTTCACCATTCTGTTTATCCTGTCTTTTTAATTCAAGTTGATTAAGAGTTTCCTCTAGTTCACCTATTTTACGAAGACAATTTTTCTTAATGTGACCTTGGGTACAGCCTTAGATCCTCTTTTTACCAGATCACACAGATAAGTTTGTAAAAAATGGACAGAGGCACTGCTGCA